CGGTCTGAAACTCAATGGGCTCATAACCAGTGTGTAGAAATTGCCTGGAAAGCTATTTTTAAAAGGTAGATTCCTAGGCCAACGCAAGACCTACTGAATCAGGATCTGTGGAGAAGTGGGGCCTGAGAATCCATTTTTTAAAGTTCCCAGGTTACTCAAATGCTAAGCCAGTTTGCAGACCTCTATCTCTCCTTGCTACTCAAACTGTGGCCCATCAGCAATATGCGTAACCTGGGAGCTTATTAGAAGTAAAGAACCTCACTCAGATCCTGTCCCTAATGCTAAGCCAGTTTGCAGACCTCTATCTCTCCTTGCTACTCAAACTGTGGCCCATCAGCATATGCGTAACCTGGGAGCTTATTAGAAGTAAAGAACCTCACTCAGATCCTGTTCCCGATTTACTGAATCAGAAGCTACATTTTAATAAGCACTCTAGGTGAGTTACATGCACATGAGTTTAAGAAGCACTGCCTTGATTACTTCTATCCTGCCTATTCCAGGAATTTTATTTCTCTTTCTAAACAGTAACAATATAAACACTCCCCCCCCACCACCAAAAATTCCAAAGGAATAATGAAAATGAAATTCTTACTGCCCTAATTAAACTTTAACAGTGTTTAGTAAGAAAAACTATTCAAAAGAAAATGAAAGAAAAGTAATTGTAACTAAATTACAACTTGGAATCTTATTTCCCATCATTTAAATTATGAACTGTGTATAGTATATGCTTACAGTTTATCTCTGAGCGTGTTTTCTCTTCTCTCACATTTCTACTTGTTGAATGAATTCTATGTGGTACAGCAACAAGAGGCTGCAAAAGAACAAAATCAATATGTGGCATCTGATAATCAATCACAGTTTGGTCCATAAAATTACCCAATTATGAAAGATATATTTCATTTTAAGTAAAATGGGAACAAAATATAACAACTTTGTAAATATTTTTAAAAAGGCAATCAGAATAGCAGCTCAAACTATGAAGGTAAAAATATAAATATTTTATTACTGACTTAACATACATCATTATTTGTACTAGAGAGAGTTTTTCTGTATCTAGATTAAATACATATGAAATTAAATACAAGTAATAATGCATTCTGCTTATTTGTATGTGCAACATTAGACTTGTCTAGATCCATTTTACAAAGATGAATCAAGTGCACTAAGTATTTTGGACATATTCTGACATCAAGAAATTCTGAAGGGAAAGGAAAGATAACAACATAAAGATTACATTTGCATCTATCATTTAATGATGACTGAGCTCATATGCCTTTTCTTTTAAAGTTTTATTCCTTGACAAAGAAAGAATAGGGCACACACAAAGGCAATAGGGGATACTGGTTTGTATTTCAAGTTTTGCTACAATTTGAACCATAACTGATTTAAGTAAGAGTGTCAAAAACCTGTGTAACTCATTATTATGTTCATGTGAACTCACAGCATTTAACGCTTTTCAGAAGCTTTTTTAAATTAAAAAAATGCTTTTTGCCTCAGTTTCTTTTGTGTATAGGTATACAACTTTAATTTCCATGAGCAGGAAATATGCTAATATTCAATTCTCTCCTTTAATTCATAAAGAAGATTCACACCTTGAAATTACTTATAGAACCTAACTAGTTAGAAGTGATCACAAAGGAGTACTGGAAAACTTATGCTCTGAACGTCCTCAATGCAAAATTTGTCAAGGGCTCCAACATTAGAAAAAGAATGAACTGAAAAATATGATACAAGGAAACCCTTTGAAAATGGAACCTATAAGCATGTCAGGAACAAAACTGACACCTCTTTCAAGAAGTTAAATGATTATTTTATACTTTAGAAGACAGGTGAACTAAAGATTTGATTGAACTTTCCTTTCACATGTATGTACCAATTCAGATGGCTGTAGAAGAAAGTAGTATTTTTTTTTTCAAAAAACTCATGTTAAAAATGATACATTTTATGTATGAATGAAAGGACTGCCAAAAATTCTGTTAAATGAAGCCAGGGTAAAATAATTTGTTTTCTAGTAATGGGAGATTTCACTTAACTTCTCTAAAAGGATATTACAAATACTGGAATTTCAAATAAGCAGAACAGATTCTGAAATAGCTCATCTGAACTTGAAAAGCTGGACATCTAAAGGACATCCTTTAGCATCACTTAATTTGACATAGGCCATGTAGATACATTATCAATAATTAAAATTTAAGCTTTAATTTCTAAACATGAATACTCCTGTTTTTGTCTATAATACATACTAGTCATGGAAATCCACTATTATGAGTTTATAATTACTCATAATCACTTTTAGAGAAGTGATGAAGAATTTATGATTATTTTTTTTTCCTTTTTGTCTTTTTTACTGACCGGTAACGGGATTGCAACCCTCACTGTCGTGCCTGTACTGGGGACCGGCAATGGGATCGCAACCCTTGCTGTTGCACCCGCACCGCGCTCAGCCAGTGAGCAGGAACCGGTCTCCACATGGGATCCGAACCCTCGGCGGGAGTGCCACCGCGCTCCCAAGCGGCACACTCTCCAGTGCTCCACCGGGCTGGCCCAGAATTTATGATTATTAATAATCATTCTGATAAATGGTCTTCAAAGAAACAAAAAATTCACAATGATCCGTGATTTCCAATCTTTTTTAATTTTTTTGGTGGCTTGCTGGTATGGGGATTTGAACCTGTGACCATGGTTTTTTATAAGGCTGCACTCTAACCAACTAAGCTAACTGGCCAGCCCCTCTAACATTTTTTTTAAACAATGTTTTACATGGCTTAAGACTGAAACTATTTTTATTATAGGTGAGTGCCCCATATCTGAAATGTTGAGACCAGAGTGTTTTGGACTTTGGATTTCTACGGATTTTGGAATATCTGCATTATATTTACCAGGTGAGCATCACTAATCCAAAGATCCCAAATCTGAAGTGCACCAATGAGCATTTCCTTTGAGCATCATATTGGTGCTCACAAAGTTTTGGATTTTGGAGTATTTTGCATTTCAGATTTTCAGATTAGGAATGTTTAACCCATACTACTTCTTGGAAAAAACAAAACCCTGACCTTACAAACTATTTCATGTTTATTCAAGTTATTATAATTCAAAATATCTATGATTATTATATCATCAAATAATACAAATACAAACATTAAGTCCTTTAATGGGAGCTAGATGAGAATGTAAAGTTTCTATGAAATGAAGGAAGGATATAGACAACACAATAAACACTAGTTAACAAAAGCAAGTGGTTTTTGACCAGGGGCAATTTTGTCCCTGAGGAGACATCTGGCTATGTGGGGACATTTCTCATTGTCACAACTGAGGATTAATGGGAAGAAGCCAGGGATGATGCTTAACATCCCACAATGCACAGGGAAGCCCCCCACAATAAAATATTGGCTGGCCCAAAATGTCAACAGAGCTCAGGTTGAGAAATCCTGATATGAGGGGTGAAAAAAAAAAAGCAGTTTCTTCTTCTAGGTCAAGCGTTGGCAAACTATGACCCATCGCCAATTCCCACTGCCGTCTGTTTTTGTAAATAAAGTTTTATTGGGATATAGCCACACTCCTTCACGTATTATATATGGCTGCTTTCACTCTACAATGGCAGAGCTATTTAGTAACTGTGACAGGGACCATGTGGCCCACAAAGCTAAATATATTTCTGTCTGGCTTTTTACAGAGAAATTTTGTGAACCCCTGTTCTAGGTTGATGATCTAAGACAAGTGAGTTCTAACACTTAGTTAAACTTCATCAAATTTATTTTCAGTTCTTCAGCTTTATCAAACACATACCATCAGGCACATATATTTTTACCACAGCCACAAAGGAAACCTGCTCCCTCCCCATTTTCTCCTTTAAAATTGCTAGAATTTTGGGAAATATGGAAAGTAAAACCTTATTAAATTGTTTCCTTATTCCATGTATTTTCAAAAAATTCTTCAAAGGTAACTGTTAATGATAGTTAAAATCCAAGTAAAATAGGTCCATTTTGTCAAACTTCCTTTAAAATTCCTAATCAATATTTTAAATATTTCTACAGTATAAGTATCACATATTATAAGCTATTATTTAATGTAAGAATCCACTAATCAACTAATTACTAGGTAAAAACCTAATCAAATGAAAAAATAGAGTATACATTCACACACTGATATTAAGTATCACATATTATAAGCTATTATTTAATGTAAGAATCCACTAATCAACTAATTACTAGATAAAAACCTAATCAAATGAAAAAATAGAGTATACATTCACACACTGATAACTCTTTCTCAAATATAAGCTTGTCTTGATTATAATCATTTTCACATGAATCTCATTTAAGGATAAGGACCATATTTAAACATTTCTAAAATATATAATAAAAAATAAATACAAACAAACAAACAGAAACCCCACAAACATTTAGATCTGGAGGTTGGCTATCATTCTCTTAAAATGTCTCGAGTTTTTAAAAGTCCTAAGTTTTTAAATCATTATTTTTACTTTAACTTTGGTCCTTTCCTGCACCTTCCTATTGGCAAACTCCTTTCCAACACTGTCAATTCCTTTGTGACATCATCTCTGACTTCCCTAACAAAAACTGGCTGTTCCTTTTTCTCATTCCTCCAACTGTGACTTCTCAAGAGTAGGGAATATATTTTATCCACAGCAGGTCCCCAATAAATGTTCACTAAGTTCAATATAAATAAATATTCAAAGTTGAGTATTTCAATAATTCAAAAGCTATTTAAAAGCAACTAGCTTTCCCTCCTGCAGAGGAGAAAACTGCAATTGAAAAATAAATAAATAAAATAAAAAACTCTACCTCAACTTCTTGTACCAAAAGAAATGAATGCAACAAAACAGAAATGAATGCAACAAAGTAATAATAAAGGCATTAACAATTTACAGTCCTTTTTCTTAGTAAACACGAATTTTTTTTTGCCTTTTATGTTTTTTCTTGGATGAATGGCCCTCTATTTTCTTTCTTTTTACTTTATTAAAATTATTCTAAATACATGGCCACCTTCAGACAGATATATTCTGGGGTGGGTGGAGTGGGGATAAGTTCTACTTACTCTTAACTCATGAACATTCCTCCAAGCTTAGGAAGTAAAAGAGGCCCTAAGTGAAAAGCTTGCAGTTCCATATCCTAAACATTCTGAGGTCTCACGAGAGCGATGCCAACATTTATTTCATGTAGATACTGCAACATCTAATAGTTTCCTCTGTGTGTGAAACACTACCTTTGAAGCTGTCGGCTTTGAAGGCGATATACTCAGACCTATCTTTACAGAAAATATAATTCATAAACATTAAGCTTAAATTCTTAGACTCAATAGGCAGATAAAGAAGAGGACCCAAGTTAACTATTCCTAGTACAGAGGCATCTCAGGAAACAAAAATACACAAATTTAAAAGACCCAAATATTAAAATACTGATGATAGTGAAACAGCAGCAAAAGTTGTTTCAAAAATTAGTTATTTAAACTTTACATGTGCATAGTCCTTTGTAGTTTACAAAGTGCTCTCATGCACCTTAGCTCATTATATCATCAAAATAAACTTGTGAAACAAGTATTATTCTTCATTTTATAGATGAGGACACTGAGGCTCAAAATTAAGTATTTTTGTCTCAGTTAACCACAGAGCTGAGAAAAACCCTAGACTTTTGATCACAGTATATAGTAGCAAAAACAAACAAAAACAGGTATCATGTCAGGTGGGTCACATAGATTATTATCAGTGAACATGGATAAAACACATGATTACCTGTGGGAACAGTTTTACTTTGACAGCTTAACCATAAAATTATAAATCTTATAATACTGTACATAGTAAATTGGTTAACATACAGGAGAAGAAAATTGTGTTAAGTAAAAATCAGAATTACAATTATTCCAGTATGCAGTTACCTCTAAAACAGAAACTACATGAGAACTCAACATAAAAAAAGTTGAACTTTCTTCCATAGTACATGACCTAAAATAAATTTATATTAAAGCAGACGTAGTAGATGTGCTAAATATTTTTAAGAGTATCCATACAACAGGTATAGTATCATAGCAAGTACAAAATATTACTTAAGACACATTCACATTTTGAGTGACAACACTGCACTAAGCAATTACAATTACACATCATTTGCTAATTAAAAAGATTATTAATTTCTCTGAGAAAAATATTTTCTTTTTTTGTCCTTTTTGAGACTGGCCGCACCGCGCTCAGCCAGTGAGTGCACTGGCCATCCCTATATAGGATCCGAACCTGCGGCAGGAGCGCTGCTATGCTCCCAGCGCCGCACTCTCCCGAATGCGCCACGGGCTCGGCCTAGAAAAATATTTTCTTAATGAAATGTCCCACCCCCTCATTCTATCCCTGGAATAATTAGATTCCTTTGTTTCTTTTACCTATTTACCATCGAGATTTATAATAATTTATAGTTATACCAACAATATAGTCTTGGTAACAGAAATGAATTTCTTTCCTTGACACCTGAGAAAGCTTCAGAAGAATCTTCATTCCACAGATTGCTTCTGTATTTGGCTTATTATTTCTCCTCTTTGAACATATTTTTAAAAGGACATTATAATTCAGTATGACAAGTAAATAGGATGAGGTGAGAAACAACAGTGCAGTATTTAGTACACTGAAAAGAGGTTCTCATTTTGCAGTTTGGATATGCACAAATTTCAGATACTTTATTTTAGTTAAATAACTCCAGTCCCCCCAAACATTCAGTCACCACAGCATATTAATTGTAACTGCATAAAGTACAAACTTCATTGCTAGCTTTTCAGTGCACAAATCTCTATGTAAATAACAGACGCACATGGTGATGATTAGAGAGGAAACTTAGAAAGGAATATGACAAGGCACAGAAAAAATACTTGCTCTGTGTCATAAAATTTTATGACAAAAAGAAGCAAGTACTGTGTAACTTACTTCATAAGTAGACTACTAGATAATTTACATGATTTATTAACAAAGAACCGAAACACACTAATTCTCAATGGTTCTAATATTTACGGTGTACTATAAATAAATATTAGTTTTACTACTTTTCTACTTCCCTATACATTTATAATGGACAGTAACAAAGTTCTTAGTGTTTTGCCAAAAAATTTTAAAGGTCACAGAACAATCATAATTTTTCCGATTAAGATTTCTTTGCAGTTTCAGCTTACATGATCATTTTCATAGTCCCCTACTACCGTGCAAATCAACGACTGCACATATACTGAATTATAGTAAGAGTTTATAAAACTGAAGTTTTTTAAGAACAAAATTAAGCAAAACAACAAAAAACTATTTTCTCCCTAGTATAATTATAAGGTCAATAATACTTTATATTTATTAAGTTTTTATGTTTCCAAACTTCTTTTCTTCAATGGAAGGACAGATAGCCTATTTATCAGAGTTGTATAAAGATGGCAAGCTTGAACAATAATGAATTGATAAAAGGGTTATCTCTGACTTAAGATAATCTGTGACCATCTTTATAACCACTGAGAAGTATCATTCCTTCAGCATCATCAATGAAATTCAAACCATTTTAAGTACCTCTACAAAGCCAGCTGAGTTCAAGGCCATCCACTTCTGTTATGAACCCAGTATCAGAATTCTGCCACATCACATATACTGAATTTATATTAGGTGGCACAACTATTAGTTGTGCTAGAAATGTTAAATATCCTGTACTTGTATTTTCTACCAACCTCTAACAAAGTATGGTAGGAGGATTATTTTGAGAAGAAAATGGAATAGAAATTTTGAGTGTATTCTAACATCTTGTTCAGCTGCTTCCCATTTGCTTTCCTTTTTACGGTGGATAATTTATTTGGTAACCTCATCTAAAATGACTACTTTAACTACATTAATTTCAACAAGTAGATTAAATAATTCTGCCTTGCCATTTTCAGGCAACATTAGCCTATAAGTACCCAATTAGAAAAATCTAGCACATGACTCCCCAGGAGACAAAGTTAAAGAGTTAACTGTTCCTTCAAGATTTTAAAAAAATTTAATATAGAACCAGAAATTCAAATAATTGATTTTGAGATGCATGCGTGTATGTGTGCACACACACGTTATACATTTCAGCTGGTAAAAACAATTCCTACCTCAGGATCATCATCATCAAAATCATGGTAAGTGGAATGATCTGGATTATTCACTTTATCCAATAGCTCGATTGCCAAAGATCGTGTCAAAGGTTGTGTGACAAAAGGGTGCTATAAAAATAAATTAATATAGTACAGAGACTTATTAGAAATCTGATTGAATGACATTTTAACTTTTGAAAAGTATGTTATTTCAAGCAAAAATAATACCTGCAGTAATTTTTCAGCAGTAGGTCTTTTTTTAGGATTTTTGGTAAGTGCCATTTTCACAAAATGATGAAAACTATTTGACCTAAGAAATTTTGAAAATTAGACTTTATATTGCAATTCTTTTTTTTGCTCATCTTAGTATATAAAAGTAAGTTACACAAAAACACTTACCACTTCATTTTATCCTTCAGTTTAGGAGGCTGAAAATTGCTTTTTGTCATTAGAAACAATGCTCTGAAAAATCAACAAATCATTATGCAGTATTTTAATATTTTAATAAATAATGTGAATTCTATTACTATTTATTCCCAGTGAAGGTAAAGTAAGACTAAAATAATTATTGGTTCATGACATAATAAATAATAATAAGAGGGGAAAGAAACAACATAAGCATAGGATTCCTCAAGTGTGACACACTGACCTCATTGGGTGTAAGTCAAACATAGGAGGCTGAAGCTCAGCAAGTTCTATCGCTGTGATTCCCACTGCCCAGAGATCACAGAGCTGATTGTAACCCCCTTTCCTCTCAACAGCTGCAACTTCTGGAGCCATCCTAAAAGAAATATTCCAGAAAAGAAAAATATTCTATTTATTGTATTTTCCTTTCAAACTCTCACCAGAGGCACAAGAAACTATCACTAGCTAAATTATGGTCTATTTAGGCCTTGATTTCTGAAAAATGAACATGTAGTTCTTAAAAAAACCACCTTTTCCAAGATCGTGACATCCCATAAGATCCTCCATCCCAAGCCTCTACAGATGATTCCTTTGTTACTTCCTTATACTACTTACTACAAAGGTTTATAAAAATACACAATTATAATACAGCAACATGACCAAAATTCATCCACACCCCAATCTCTCTTCCCTGTATATACATGGATAATTCTATAAAGAAATAACATTTGTAATATATAATCTATAATATTTTAGCTGTATCTCCTTCTATCAATAAACTGCAATCTGGCCTCTGTTTTTACTTCACCAAAACAATTCCTTGGGGTACCAATAATCTTCATATTTAGTATTTATGCATATTTACTACAAACGTATTTGGCATTTTTTTCAGTTTTATTATAATGATGGAAAAGTTATGAGTGCCTACTTTTAAAAAATGTATTTATTCAGAGAAAAGTTACCCAAATTCAGTTATTTTTTTGTTTCTTTTAAGTTTGCTACAATTTTATTCTAATTATACCTCTATAAGTTTATATTTGACTAATTTAAATGATTTTCAAATATAAAAATTTTCAAACCTTAAACAACAGTCTTGAAAACAACTAATTGAGATGAACATTTCAATTCTTCCATATTTAAAGAGCGATTTAAATACACAGCTTTGCAAGTATACATCAGTCTTCCTGGTACGATTTCAGGAAAGTCAAGTAGGTCAGTAAAGTTAAAAACAAAAAATAATAAAAACCTCCTAATTTTCAGAATGCTTGGTCTTAAAATCTTTTTAATCTTCAAGCAGCCCTTATAAAATCTCAAGTCATCATAAGAAAAGTGAATTTTAAAGTATGTCAGTTAGGGGCCAGCCCGTGGCTCACTTGGGAGAGTGTGGTGCTGATAGCACCAAGGCCACAGGTTCGGATCCCTATGTAGGAATGGCTGGTTGGCTTACTTGGGAGAGCGTGGTGCTGACAGCAGCAAGTCAGGGGCTAAGATTCCCTTACTGGTCTTCTTTAAAAATAAATAAATAATAAAGTATGTCAGTTATTACTTTATTGATGGCTAGATTCCAGCTACCTGGTGGAAATGCCCTAGTAGAGTGTGAAATGCATACGGGTGATCTGCTCTTAACTTGCCTCCCCTTAATTAACTCATCACATTAGCTGATACTCTATGCTCCTCTATAAAAATACAAGAGAAACATTCCGGCTAGTGCACTAGTAATTCCAGCCAGTTAAAGTTGTGTGCTTATTGCAGTCAGTTGGGTTTATCTCTGAACCTGTTTACTACAGTTATATTTGCTATTACAAATACAGATTTTAATTACATATTATGAGAACTAATTTATAATGAAGGTAAAAAGAATAAGTTGTTATAAAAATTAAAGTGGATGCTTTAGAAAAACTTGTTAAAAGACAAACTTCTAAAGATAACCCCCAAAAGCCTGGCAAATTAGGTAAGAACATGACAACTGTAGGAGTCTGGGAAGGTTAGAGACTATATGATTCCATTTGCATGACATTCAAGGAAAAGGCAAAACTATAGAAGACAGAAATCAGATTAGGGGTTACCAGAGGCTAGGGATAAAAAGAGAGAATTTACTAAAAAGAGTCAAGAGGAAATTTGGGGGGGGGGTGATGGAAATCTGTTTTATCTTGACTGTGGTACCACAGCATACAAAGTTTCTCAACATTCATAGAATTGTACCCCTAATAAGGGTAAATTTATACCTCAATAAACCTGACCAAAATACCCCCACATGCTTTGCATGTCTAAGTTCTCACTGCACCTTAGAAAAACACAAACTTGAAAATGTAGTTGATACACTATGGGTATGGTTTACATTATTAAGATGGAACTCTAACAAGTGATCCACTCAAAGAAAAGGCCGTAGTTCTATATCAAAAGATTGTTGAATAAATGTACACTAGTATGCTTTAAATTGAAATAAAATGTTCAGGGTACATATGTATATGAGATTTGCCACTTCAGTAGACTTTTGTGACTAAATGAATACAGATGCTCCCTGATTTAACAATGGGTTACATCCCAATAAACCCATTGTAAGTAGAAAATATCGTTAAGTCAAAAATGCATTTAATACACCTAACCTACTAGACATCACAGCTTAGCCTAGCCTATCTCAAACATGCTCAGAACACTTACATTAGCCTACAGTTGGGCAAAATCATCTAACACAAAGCCTGTTTTGTAATAAAGTGCTGAATATCTCACATAATTTATGGAATATTATCCTGAAAGTGAAAAACAGAATGTTTGCATGGGTACCTGAAATATGGTTTCTACTGAATGCATATCGCTTTCACGCCAACGTAAAGTTGAAATAATAAAGTTGAATGAACATAAGTCAAGGAACGTCTGTAATTGTCAACCTAATCACTTTAGAAGAGAGAGATTCTATATCCCTAGAGTGGAGGTGGGAAACACATGATTCTAGAAAGAGAGGGAGAGTGGGAGTATTCCAAAAATTAACTTTACCTAATTCACAATTTCACATGTTCCCAAGATATTTTCCACATTGTTGTAAGAGGAATGACATTAGCTTTTAATTTCTGAAGCTGGAGTTGGAGATCAGTCATCATCAATAAACATTCATTGAGTATGTGTACAGAATCAGGCTACAGCCTGGAGATTCAATGAGGAGTTCATCTAGATGTGTAAAATAAAATTGAGGAGATAGAGTACTTAAAAATAATGACAGATAGTCACTGCTCTCAGAAATCAACCCCAAACAATAAAAATAAAAAGAAATATTAACAAACGCCATCTTTGAAAAATCTAGAAGACATTTTACCTAGAGCCGTAACACACAAAGAATAAATATAGAATAGTAAATTATGTAGCAAACAGGAGGAAGGACAAACCTAAGTGGGTACAAAGGTAAAGAACAACGAGCAAGCCAATTAACACCAAAGAATACCAAAAAATGTTGACAAGTTAGGGTTAAAAAGTAACAAAAGTAGGGTTGAGGTTGAGCCGAAAACAGGGGTCTTTGAAAGTGTCAAACAGTTAGTCCCCCAGATTCCTACTCTCATCCAGTAAGGCCCAGCAATTACTCCCCCCCCCCCCCCCCCCCCCCCCCCC